AGATAGATACGAAGTGCATGTTCCAGATGTGCTGCAACTACTCAACATTAAGGAAAACACACTTTATCTAAACACTATACAGTAGATAAAATACAAAAGACAGAGGAATTTAGAACTTAACTGAATAATAGGTACAGTACCTATTACCAATTAATTGTTCCAATACAGCAGCATCCCATAAACACACCTCTTGGCAAAATTTTACCTCTTGGTAAATTCAGACACAGATTCTCCAATCCAGGAAGAAACAACATCAAGAGCAGAGATTTCAGAGAAAGTAGTAGCTAGGAATTATTTGCTGAAGATTCCAACCCTTGAGGCACCCAAACAACTTCTGACTGCTACAGCTATAAAAACTAGAATGCCTGATCTGAGAGAACTGGCCATTCCCTTTCCATTGTTACAAGTTTTTTTTCAACAAAAACCTAAAGGCCTCCCAAACTGTTGACTTAGGCTGTTGCCAGTAGCCACTTCAGCAACTCTGCCTTTTGAAAAACCCTCCAGAAAAAAACCTAGGACAAAATAACTGTTTCAAAGTGACAGCATCATCACACTTTAAAGCCAGAATGTGCAGCCTCATTAGGTGAGAAGTTAAATTTCTTCAGCAAAACCAATTAGAGGCAAGAAAGAACTTTGAACAATGACTCAGGTCAGTGTTCTTAGTTTTAAAAATTCCCTCTATTTGGAACAGGTTGATCTAATTTAGATGCAAAAATATGAACAAAGTGCCTCAAAGTCTTACAAACACATGACAATCTCATGCATTATGTTCAAGTAAAATATAGGGAGCAAACATCCACGAGGTTCTCATGTCTACTGTAACTTTGGAGCCAAATGCCACTTATCCAGATTTCATAGGTCTTTTGCTGAATTGACAGAACTGGGAGAAATCTTCAAGTGTCTCTTACTTTAGAAGGGGTGCATGGTCACTCAGTGGTTAGTACTGCTGCCTCACAATATCAGGGACCTGGGTTTGATTCCACTCTTGGGCAACTGTGTGTGGAATTTGCACATTCTCCCCATATCTGCGTGGGTTTCTGAAAGGGTGCTCCGGTTTCCTTCTACAGTCCCAAAATGTGCAGGTTAGGTGGACTGGCCATGCTATATTACCTATAGTGTCCAGGGATGTGCAGGCTAGATGGATTAGCTATGGGAAATGCAGAATTATAGGCTTAGAGAGCGAGTCTGGGTGGGCTGCTGTTTGGAGGGTCGGTGTGGACTTGATGGGCTGAATGGCCTGTTTCCACATTGTAGGAATTCTATGATTAAATGAGCATGTATACAAAACAGAAAAATCTTGGTTAATTTATTTTTAAAAAATCATTGGATGAGTGTTGCCGATAAGGCCAGTATTTATGCCTCTCTCAAATTAGTCTACAACTGCGTGCTGTTAGGTTATTTCATAGGGTACTCAAGAGTCAACTTCATTTTGGGTCGGGAGCAGGCCAGAACAAGTAAGGCTGGCAGGTTTCTTCCTCTAAAAGGACATTTTTAAAAAAAAACTTAGGTCTGACAGCATCTGTACAGATAGAAATAGAATTAACGCTCATGACCCCAAGTCAGAACGGTAGTTCTTCTATTTTTTTTTGATTTCCAGTTCTTTGTTTTATAAAAATCTCATCTGGTTCACTAATGATAATCAGGTATAGTAATAGTGCCATGAAATTAAGAATAACTTACAATTTCAAACTTTCATTAAGTGACCATATTAATTAGTTGAACTTGAATTTGAGATGCAGCTGTGAGTACAGTTATTAGGCAAAATATTTAATAAATCAAAGTATCATACAAGATCTTTCAATTAGCTACTTTTAAAAAAGTATACTCTATCCTATACCATAAGACAACAATATATCAGAACAGAATGAAACCATTCAGCCCATCAAGTCTGCCCTGCCATTCAATCATGGCTAATAGGTTTTCCACCTCCATTGTCCTGCCTTCTTTCTGCAACCTTTGATCCCTCACTAATCAAAAATCTGTCTTAAAGACACTCAATAAACTTGTCCTTCACAGCCTTCTGCAGCAATGATTTCCAAGATTCACCACCCTCTAGCTGAAGAAATTCCTCATCTCAGTTCTAGAAGGTCATCCCTTCACTCTGAGGCTGTGCCCTCAGGACCTAATGTCATCTAGTAGTGGAAGCATCATCTCCACCTCCACTTTTCCCGGGCCTATCAGTATTCTGCAAGTTTCAATGAGATCACCCCTCATCCTTCTAAACTCCATTTCAGTCCCAGAGTCTTCACATGACAAGCTGTTCATCCCCAGATCATGCTCCCCTCCAACGCCAGCAGATCCTACCTTCGAGACAGGACCCAAAACTGCTCACAATATTTCAATTGTGGTCTGACCAGAGCCTTATACAGTCTCAGCAGTACATCTTGTTCTTATATTCTAGCCCCTCAGCTAACACTGCATTTGCCTTTCTAATTAACCTTAGAACCTGCATGCCAGCCTTAAGAGAATCCTGAACTAGGTCTTCTAAATCCCTTTGTGCTTCAAATTTCTGAAGCTTTTCCCCATTTAGAAAATAGTCTGTACCTCTATTTTTCTGAGCAAAGTGCATAACCTCTCGCTTTCCCATATTTTATAAGCAAGCCAAATATTTTGTAGTTTCTAAATCCAAAGCTTAAGGAACTTATTCATTTGAGAATTTGAAAATGTTTCATTTATTTAAAAGCTAGTCTAATGATACACAAAGTACTTTCATGATTTTGAGTTAATCATTAGTATTTCTTCATCCTTAGGAAAGTGTCCTTCTCTACTAAAAGGAGGGTGGATAGCATTTTTCCAAACCTCCAGTCAACCAAACGCTCCCCTGCTCTGTGTTTTAGTTTCATGGCCCAAGGCCTCTAAGGAATTAACTTTTCATGCTCCAGCAAAGAAACACATGTCAGCATCTTTCCATTTGCCACAGCTCAGGTTAGAAACAGATTAGACTGGGTGGGGGGGGTTGGGGGCGGAAATCAACCCTCATTCTCTCACTTCTGTGATGTAACTGGTGGAATTAGTTAGTGTCATTGCATCTATACTGCATACCACACCAGGCCAAATTGGTTGAAATTTTTTTTTTTGCTTATGGCACATCATTGTTTCAGTTTGGGGCCTTCCCTTGATTGCCTAGCCACAGTTCAGAACAATACAAGGCAGAGTCAAATTCTAACTGTTGCGACATGTATGACTGCTTGATGCTGTTAGTTTTATACTCATTTTCTCGAGTAAACCAAATCAAAATAAGCAGGATGACGTGTTAGCAAATGGCAATAGTTGATGGGAATCAGGGGTCAAACTCTTCATTGGTTGGAGTCATACCTGGTGCATAGGAAGATAACTGTGATTCTGGGGATCAGTCATCGCTGCTGCTGTACAAGAATTCCTCAGGGTAGTGTCCTAGGCACAACCATCTTCAGCTGCTTGATCAATGACCTACCCGCCATCATAAGGTCAGAAGTGGGGATGTTTGCTGATAATTGCACAATGTTTAGCACTATCAGGGACTCTTCAGATATTGGAGCAGTCCATGTTCAAACGCAATAAGATCTGGACAAAAACCGGGTTTGAGCTGACAAGTGGCAAGTAACATTCGCGCCACACAAATGCCAGGCAATGACCATCTCCAATAACAGGCAATCTAACCACTGCCCCTTGACATTCACTGGTGTTACCATCAGTGAATTCCCCCACTATCAACATCTTGCGGGCTCCCTTTGACCAGAAAAATCAACTGCACTTGCCAAATAAACACAGTGAATAGTAGAGAAGATCAGAGGTTTGGAATACTGTGGCAAGTAACTTACCTCCTGACTTTCCAAAGCCTATCCAACATCTACAGGGCACAAGTCAGGAATATGATGAAATACTCACCATTTGCCTGGATCAGAGAAGTGCCAATAATATTCATGACGATTCCCTTTGTTAGATACCTGCTTACAACAGGATTAGTCACTGAGGATTTGTTTCTAATCCAATCATCCTTTCACTGTCTTGACAGCATTCATTGCTCATGGACTGTCTACCAAACACAATTAGCGCAGATAATTAATAATTAACCAAGGAAGTAAAGGATAGATAATATTAAAAGAACTCTTCTTTTAACTTTACCAGTTAATAGATAGACAAAATGGTCAAACTGCACACATATGGTATTATTACATGCCAATTACAGATTTATTTACTAATAAGAAAACAAATCTGGATTGCTGTCCACGAGCCAACACATTGGAAAATGCATCACTGAACATTAAGACATTGTCCATAATATCCACAATACTTATACTGCTTTTTGAGATAACTACACCACTGAAGGCAGCCTACAGTTAGGTCTCAATAATTACTGAAAAATGTCATGGGTTCATCATAAGAGGGTCTCTTTCATTTCACAGTTCCATGTTCTTTTGTTAATTCAGATTTGTGGTGGTGCCAAGGCAAGGCCCATCAGCAACAATCCAAGTACAACATCAAAGGGAAGCACACTGGAAAGTTTGGTTAACAGCTTGTCGTGATGTCTCACATAGCTGTGACTAAATTCCAATTGATGTCTGACTGGAAAGGATGGGGTTCTAAGCAACAACAATTCAAGAGACTCCATGTTCTGATGTGCTGACACCAAGGTGAGGCATTGGTCCTTCGAACTTGCCCCATGATCAACCCCCATGTCTGAGCCCTCTTTCGATCAATATTACTCTTACAAGTGAAGGAGCAAAGCACACCATCACAGGCACATACTTGGGCTCACAAGTATATAATTACATCAAAAAAATTCTAGAAAACCAGCTGCAGCTATTTAAATTTGAAGGCCTATTGTACTCTCTTTACAAAAGTGCCCTTCTGAATTTAAATCGATAGTTAAGCACCATATTTTCTAATCATCAGCTACACATTGCTTTACCAAAACCAATGCTGAATGGTAGCAGTCTGAAATGTATGCCTAAATTGTGCAGTGTTATGCTGCAACTTCAGGAGAACCAAGAAAAAGAATCCAACTTTACAATCTGGAATTATTTAATAACATTTTTAATTTGTCTTTTCCAATTGTACATCAATAAAAATACAAGCATTTACTATTATTGTATTTGGACTTCTTTCCTTTAATGAATAAAATTGAAAAAATATAAAGTGCAATTAAATGTTAATTTTTAAGGGGTCATTTTTACACAGATCGACATTTGCAGAAAAACCCCAATTATAGAACACAGAACAGCACAGCACAGTGCAGGCCCTTCGGCCCACGATGTTGTGCTGACCTATTATCCTACTGAGATCAATCTACCCTGCATACCCTACATTTTACTATCTTCCATGTGCCTATCCAAGAGTTGCTTATCCAAGAGTTGCTTAAAAATCTCTTAAGTATCTGACTCAAATTCGGAAAGACAAAAAAGGAAACTTACAAATCTTTGAACCAAAACCCAACTGGACCAGCCACAAAAATACTATGGCTACAAAATTAAGTCAAAAGTGGGGAATTCTGTAGTAACTCACGTCTTGATTTCCTAAAGCCTTTTTACTATCTACAAGAAGCAGATCAGGAATATGATGCAATACTCCCCATTTACCTGGACTGTTTCATCTCCCAACTACGTTCAAGAAATTTAATATGATTCACCATCCACCAACTTAAATATTCATTCCCTCCATTGGAACAGCTTGGCTGCAGTACGTGTCATTGACAAAATGTACTTGTAAAGACTCTTTCAACAGCACCTTCCAAACTTGCTGCGTCCATCATCTGGAAGAACAAGGGCAGCAGATGAATGGGAACCCAATCACCAGCACCTTCCCCTTCAAGACACACTAATCGAATTCGCAGCTATATCATGATCCTTTTCCATTACTTGGTCAAAATTCCTAAACTTACTTGCTGTAGCTCATGGCCCGCAGCTGTCAAGGCGGTGGCTCACAAGTATTTTCCCCAAGAACAACTCGGGATGCAAAATAAATGCCAGCTTTGCCAGCAACACCTGCATCCCATGAATGAATATAAAAATACTTTAGTAAGAATACAAAAGCTTTAAATAAAAAATATTTTAAGAACTTGATTAAATGAGTTGGCAAATTATTCAATAAGAATTACATGGTAATGTGCAGAAAAGACACAAACATGCAGACATCACTGCAATCTAAAAGATTATTTATGCAAGCAACAAGATAGATTCAAGTAAGAGATACTATGACATAATAAGAATCTGTATAATTGTATTGGCACATCACCAGTATTAGTGCATTTGGAAGTACTTGTGATATTAGCACACTCAGCACAGTACTTGAAGGGCTTGATTAGGTAAATACATTCATATAAATGAAAACATGTAATCAAAAATACAAAATAATTGCAAAATGTAGCTTAAAAATGCGAAGAAAAAGCCACGGAGGGTGTAAGCCACTATGGTCTTGTAAAAGTACCCTTTTTTTTCCTCAACTGCCTAACTTCTAAGAAGGAACAAAAGTCAAAAGGAAGGGAAGAAATCCAGCATCTGCAGTTCCTACTATCTCTGAAGAAATCTTGTATATGGACACAGTCTGAAAAAGTCTGTTTGTGTATTTTGCTTATGCAGGTTAGGACTGCTCTAAATAATCTTGTTGAAAATATCTAGATAAAACAAACTTCCAGATGAAAACTTGAGGGAGAGCTTCAATGTACATTCAAAATATATAGGTTAGCTTGTGTTTATGAGCAATAAGCAAAATGTGATTCATACTAAAGTTAAGATTTTAAATGTGTTCATACTTTTGTTCTGAATTATTTCAGATGATACTTAAAGACAGGGTAGATTGCTCAGCCTACTTTAATTCATTCATCCAGAAAGATGACTAGATTTCCCTCCTGTGTGCTTCATCCCACCTTATCCTGCTTCTTTCTGCATTCAGTTTTATTATAAAATAATCCCGTCTTTACTTCAGTTAAAATAGCTTTCATGTTTGGCGGAAGGTGAGAAAATTCTCTACACCAAAGCAGAATTCCCTTGATTTTAGAAGGGCAAACGCTAATCAAGTTTAGATAATTACGATGACAAGTGAATTGGATTGAGTAGGATGGTATTCAGGTCAAGGAGGCAGAATCTTACAACAGAGATAATCATTCAGAAATGGAATGTGAAAGCACCTTTCACTATAAAGGATGGTGGAAATCTAGAACTTGTTCCATGAAAGTCACTGGATACAGAATTAATTGAAATTTAAGACTCAGATTGATGGACTTGTGTTAGTCTGGAGTATTTGAGGATATGTATGTGATTAATAGATTTGATGTACAGATCAACTAGGATCTGATTGAATGGTGGACCAAGCTGTCTCACCTAATTCCATGCAAAAAAAAGATTAAAAAAAAGTTAAAACTTCCAAAAATCTCAAAAATTGTAATTTTTTTTCAAGTTACAGGAGTTCACACAGCTGTTTAATTTTCAGGTTTCAAAAGAATGACAGGTAACAATGTTGAAATCAAGGTGTTTATTAATGATAAAAAATAACAAGAGATCTTTAACAATGGGCGTTCAACAAATTCTATCATGTCTGTCCTCAAAGGGAATACACAGTGTGTGTGAGAAAGCAGCCCTCAAGTTAAAATCTGAAACAGAATTATAAAAATAAAAATGCATGTATCAAGTTTGAAAAGACGGCCAGTTGAGGTGAATGGAAATTATGTTTCCCGGTTTGAAAAAAAAACTTGCTGTTGATGAGACATTTAAAATCATTAAAAGTCAGATAAAGTATTTAAAAATTAGAATCAACAAGGTAATATCCACAGACAGACATTATCTTATTAGATAGATTTCATTAATGTTCTAGACAAGGAAAGAAAAATTTAACAAACTTGAGGGTGAAGAACCAATTTACTGTAAATAAGTGATATTTGTTTTGTGTGCACGATTTCAGCAGAAGGAATGACTCAGTAGATATATCTTTCTTTAAACTATAGGTAGTAAAATCAAATATCCTCAGATCAGAAATAGATTTGTTTAGATTTTAATCCAAATTTTTCTCGTGCCCCAGAGATTTCTACTTAAAATTTTGGAACAATATGTTCGAACAAGTTGAAGGTTTGTTGAATCTAGACAGAAACTGAGCACACTTCTAATCTTGTACAGTTCAACAAAAACGGACGATCCTTCAGAGATGGATTTTAGAACAACTCCTTAAGAGATGAGAATCCATTGATTATTAACACAGTTATACTTGTTTCTAGATGGAGGCATCATGTAGAATACTGAACAAGTTTTCTTCTGAATTCATTGCAGATTCATCAATTAAAGACTATAGGGCATTAAAATACTAACTTTGTAGCCCTCAGCAGAACAAAGTCAGGATATTATTTGAGTTGTGAAAAGTATGCATTGAAAACTTTTCTCACTCAAGCTTGTTTATATTAAAGGCATTTCCATTTTGTACTTTAGATATAACACAATCTGTGTCGTATTATAACTGCACGACCCCATTATGATTGCATCCACCACTCAGCAGTGTGCAAACTAGAGAATTATAGGTACATAGAGTTCTTATATTATTATCATAACATATGTTAAGGAGCAGTTTACAATTATTATATCAGGTTTAATGGTAAATGATTTTAATGTCTCAGCTGCCATATTAACACATGCACATATGCAAAGGCCATTGGGATAAGGCAGGAAAGTGAAGTTGAGGACTTGATCTCATTGAACGGAAAAACAGACTCGATAGGTTGTATGGCCTACTTCTGCTCTTATATCTTATGGTCTTATTGGTTATGTTACTACCACAGCAAAGCAGAAGTTATAATGATTGGTGACTATAGATGTTATTAAAATTTGGCTTCTGTTTAATAGGCATGAACCAAATTTAAGCAAATCATACATTTTATGTGGAGCATCCCTTGACAAACAACTTGCAAAACACTTAAAATATTGCAAAATATTCACTTAGTGACTTATAAATGGTGATCAAAAATGAGTATTAAATTACATCTAATGCAAGACAACCTCAAATAAAAAAGTACACTTTTTTTTTTCCAGGATTTACCATCCACCTTTGCAACTTGGAAGTAACACACAGTGGCCCAAACATAATCTTCACAGACTAAACTAGCAGTGTTTCAGATGTTAGTGCATGAAACAATGTACATTTTACATCATTGTATGTGGAGCACAGTAATTCATTATTCATGTTTTTAAAAAGATTGTTTTTGGAATAAGCAATGCTATGGAAATTGTAAAGAATTGCCTTCTTTGTATGGTACTAGCAATGTGAACACATGGTGCCCTTTTTATGAAGGGATGCCCCTTCAAGATATGGAAATAGCTTCTTGAAGATGGAACTAGTCAATCTGTAGTGCACAATCCAACATGGTAACAGAATAAAGGGTCCTGAATTGTAATGAGACATGCTCAAAATGTTCTGCAGCAATAAGTTTTACAGTTTAGAGTACAGAGACTGTAATGTGCCAATTGTCATACAATGATCATCAGGGGACCATAATCAGCATTGACCACATGAATAACATTTTTGAGCTGATATCAAGTTAAAGCTGACCACATTTAATTCAACACCACCACCCAGTAAATTATTTGCTGTTATTACGCACATTTGAGATTTTAAACATGCTGTACCAAACTCTTACAGATTAATGTTTTGTGCTGAGCATTTTCAAGCTTTCAATTTAATCGGCATACATTTTTCTAACAACTTAGGTCTTTTTAAAGTTGATTCTATTCATTTTGTCTACCAGAATTCCAGATACCAAAACGAATATTCCTGGCACTTTGAGGTCTCTGGATCTACAGAGAACTGGAATCTGACACGTTATGGAAAGGCTGTGCCAACTCCGGTTCTGTATTTCACAGGTACTCCTGGTTATGTAGTAGCAATACTTTCCAGCAAGTTGGCCTTTAAAATAGGCAAAAAAAACTTTCACTGGTCATACAATTCCAGAGTCAGATAGTAGTGAAAATGCATGTTTGTGTTTAGTCTCTTTCTCATTGCACACAGAAGACAAATTTCACAACACAGTGTCAGAATGGAAAAGCCAGCATGCTGTTGTCATGGTTTGAAATTGAGCTCAGGAGTTAAAGTGTCTTCTGGTGGATTTTCACAGAGCCACAATCAGAAGGTGACACAATCAATCCTGAAGAAAATCAGAAAATCACTTGTTACTTCTACAGCTCAAGTATTCTTGTACTTAAATGAACAACCAACCCCTCCAGTGGTCAATATCAGCAAAAAGTCACAGACTTTGGAAATTATTTACTGAAATTTTAAGCCTGAGTTTTTACATCAATAAACTCTGTTTTTAATCAAATAATGTTCCTGAAAAGTGTTGACAATGTTTTTCCATTTTTTTATGAAGGGAAGAACATTTGTTGTTGGCAAGATGGGCAATGTTTAGTTCAGGAAAAGTAGTGTGTGTTTGGAACAATGATTTGTCTCCAAACAGGTGAGTTTTAAACTTTGGTCAAAGGGGATTGAAAATCTTGTTTATTCTCAATAGGGATCCATCAGGGAGTCAAGAAGTAATAGACAAAAGTTGACATCACTAAACTCAGGCAATGCATAACGAACATAAACATAAAGCATCTGATCTAATTGTGATCCTTACTTAAGTAGTGTCCAAACTAAGAACATTCAGCAACTGCAAATAGCAAATAATATGAGATAGACACGTGTGTCTGTGTGAAGAAAACAGCTGAATTTTTGCACCCTTAATTCAGTGGGAGTAATGCTAATTGTTCGCTACAACACCTGGTGGAAGCTGAACATCCCCAGGAGGCAGTGTAATGGACCAAAGATAGTTGTTTCTAATGGGTTTCAGCCTAAGATTGGGAGAGTCTGCATGAAATGAGGGGCAGAGAAACAGTGGGGGCAGAAAAATGGCGGGGGGGGCAGAGAAACAGAGGATGAGGCGCAGAGGGGCAGAAACAGCTCGTGTGTGTATAGCAGATAAACACCATTATATTTACTCACACAGCTGAAAAAATTGCTGTTTGAAGCAAAGTCAGGATTTTAATTCTCTGACTGCATATCTTTAGCCAAATCCTGTACAAAGTCTGTCAAAATTACAGTTTTAATTTTCCATTTAGTATAAACATACAGATTGAATTCAAAAGTATTTTATCGTAAGCTGTATTGAATCAATTACGTTAACATGTTGAAGTTGTCATCATATTGTTGAATAAAACTGCCAAATGAAGGAAAGGAGTGAGAAAGTCACCCTTTCCATCAGCCACCTCGTTAATGTCCAAATCAAAGCGACCAGTTGCAATGACACCACTAATATTCTGTTAGGGGAGGCAGGTTGAAACTGAAATCCTATGATAATAGGGTTTTCGTTTTTGATGGCTCCTAGGTACTCCTGTTTCTCTTTAAGGAACCTATTAAATTTTAAAAAAAGACAGGAGGAAAAGGAATGCTGTAAGTACAAGGATGAAGAGAAAGGGAAAAAAAGGCTCAAGGTTTTAACAAAACTTATCAATACTAGCAATTAGTATTTCCAATATCAGCCAACAAGTGCTTCATTATATTACTTCGCTGTTTTAGTGGAGTGCAAAATCATTTTTAATTAAATTTATACAAGAGTTTCTTACCTTTTTATACTTTAAATTCTTAATCGTACTTGGGTTAGACGAATAATCAACATTTTAATAGAGCGGAGATGGTGGTAAACAGTAGAAATCACACTCTATGACACCTCTAATGCAGCTGAAAGTGGTGTAAACATCAAAGTGCAACAGGCAGGACAAAAGCTTCAAAATTTCTGGGAATCCTGTGGGTTGGAAAGTCTGTAAACTTTCAGGCAAAAATCAGATAAACAGTATTAAAATTCAAGAATTTATTTTAATGAAAGGAAAACTAAAAATTTTAAAATTAAGGAAGATCAAAATTTATGCAGGCAGATGGGAGTAGTTGTGTTGAGATGCTATCAGCGTTTACAGCTGTAAAAACTCAGAAATTCCACATTCTGCATATTTGTTTCATTTAAACTTTGATTTATGGGGGATTAGAAACTACCGCATTTAAAAATGAAAAGCTTTAAACTCTTTTCACACACAAGTCTGAATGGAAATCCGTTCGGTATTTGGACTAGTGCCACACAATAGTTCTCTTGAGCAGTTTGGTGACTCCATAGACAAACTGTGAACTGACAAGTAGCTACTGCTACTGCGGTCTTTTGCACCACCAGGTTCTGTTTCAATATCCACGTGGACCTCTATGTTCTTTCCTTCCCTAAAACAAAAGCAGCATTTTGTAAGTTTTCAAAACCACAATGCATTGTTGTATCATGAAATACAAATACTCACAGAAAAGCTAAGAGCAAAGGATTAAAAATGTACAGATGCTGGAAATTTGAATATAAAAACAGAAAATGCTGACAGGATACATCAGGTCAATAAGCATTTGGAAAAGGAAATTAAAGGTAAACAGACAGACTTGGTGGTGATTCTGGACAAAAAGTATACTGGTAGGCATGTTGCATATCTCCAGCATTTGTTTTATGTTATGAAAAGAAAGATTGATGGCGCAGTGGAAATGTCACTGCACTTGTAATCAAGAGGCCCAGGTTAGTCTCCTGGGGACACAGATTCAAATCCCAAAAGTTAAATTCAATGAATAAACCTGATTTAAACCTATTCTCTGTAATTGTGACCACCGAATTGTCAATTGTTATAAAAACCCATCTTGTTCACTATGGCCCTTTAAAGAAGGAACCTGTGATCCTCACCCAGTCTGGTCTACGTATCATAGAAGACCCAAAACAATGTGCTTAATTCTTAACCACTTTCTGAACTGGCCTGGCAAGCCATTCTGTTCAAGGGCAATTAGGGATGGGCAATAAACTCTGGCCTTACTAGTGATACCTGTGTCTGATGAAAGAATAAACAAAGATAAATATAGGAGTGAAGTAACCTCTTTCCCTTGTTCTCCGATTCTAACTGTAATGGGTTGGATAGCTTTGGCAGAGTTCTGGTCCAGTTTATTCAAATAAAACAGCTCATACAATCTGTCTTACAATGATTAAGAAAAATTCACACAATCCATGTTTAGATTAATGCCATTAAATGCTATTTCTGATTCCTGACTCAACAGAAGATTACGATTAGTGCAATTTACCCAAGTCAATTCATAAAAATATTCTTTAGTATGCATTCACCTGTTTGAAGAATCCTGTTCTGCACTCAGCATACTTCCTGCTAATGCAACAGTGCTTGCTGATTGATCATTTTCTAATTTGACACCCACTCTGTCTAGGTTGCTTCCACTTGCACTCAGGCCACTGGTCACCTCTTGCACACTGCTCCCGCTGATACTGTGGTTATGTAGTCTAGGCCGTGGCTCATTAACTGCAGAATATGTAAAGGCAATGATACTTAGCTTAATTGGAACACAGATGAAAGTAAGGCTATGTTTTCCAAGAAACAGAACTTTTTATTATTGGATAATGTAATGATCTCAAGGACAAGTACAGATGGTGAAGAAACATTAGCCTAGCTGGCAATGTAGACATACCATGAATATGAAAAATTAATTAAATGTGGCACAAAAAATGGAAATTGCTGGAAAAACTCAGCAGGTCTGGCAGTATCTGTGAAGAGAAATCAGAATTAATGTTTTGGGTCTGGTGCCCTTCTTCAGAACTCTGTGCCATACATAGATCAAACAGCAGGGTTTGTCATAAAACAACATCTTCAGTGTAGGCTGGCAGAAAGGCTGACATAAGATCTGACTCATAGTATTCCGATCGTTCCAATCTCAATGTACTTTGTTACAATGCTTCAAGCACAGTGGACGGTATAAAATTCAATGGAAACAGTGACTGCCTGTCTCTTGCATTGTTATACTATAGCACAGTTTTAAAAACACCTTCCGTTGTATAGGTCTATAATTATAGAACTGCAGACGTCTTGAAAGCTTGCAGGTCCTGAAGGTGCTAAAGAGATAGTGAGGGCCAAAGCCATGGAAGGATTCAAAAATAACTAATTTTTTTTAACTAAGCATAGCCTACTCAGAAGCCAATCTACAACAGCAGTAGTGATGGGTGAATGGGACTTGGTGCAAAATTAGAATTCTGGTTGGGTACAAATAAGAATTCAGGGTAACCTCAAGTTTACAGAGAATAAAAACTGTAACAGAATGGTGGAGTCTAAAAGGTAACGAAAGCATAGATAAAGGTATCAGCTACAGCAGAGTTGGGCAATGTCAAAGTAGTGGGAATGTATAGGTTTTGTGAAACAACAGCAACGACTGAAGGTGTTTTGTGATGGCCTTGATATCTATTCACAAGTTTATCTCAGCAACATGGCAACTAAGTTGTCAACATTAAAGTATTCAAAATAGTCAGCAGATATGGCAGAGAGAAAAGAAAAGTTATGATTTCATGCTTTTGGCCTTTCAACAGAACTAGAAAAGGTTAGCGATAAACAAGTTTTATGCAAGTACACAGACATGAAAGGGCAAAATACAGAACGAAAAAAAATGGTGTGCAATAGGTGTGAAAGGCAGGCAAAATCAAAAATGACAGAAGATATGATAATACAAGGCAAAAGTGTATGTTAACAGGATTGGAAACGAAAGATGGGTCCAGATGAGATTTAAGTGGAAAGAGCATGATCATTACCAACAGGTGACATTCAAAAGCAAAGCAAAACAAAACAAAATACAAACACAAACGAAAAGCAAAATTGTAGGGGTAGGTGTTGTGATCTGATATTACTGAACTCAATATTGACTTTGCAAGGCAGTAAAAATGCCTCCTTGAAAAATGAGGAGCTGTATCTTGAACTTTTGTGGAGGTTCATTCAAACAGTGTAGGAGGCTAGGGTCAGAACGGTCTGAGTGGGAGTGGGATGGAGAGTTAAAATGAAAGGTAACCCAGAGGTTCAGTTGTACACGTAGACTGAGTGGAGCTGTCCCAATTGCAGCAAGTTCTGGGCCCCTAACATTACTGTGTTCACTAGTCTACTTTGACTGATGTACAAAGTCTTGATTTTATAATTCTTGTGCTCATTTTCAATTCCTTGCATGACCTCACCACTCCCATCTCTGCATTTGTAGGGTATCTGTACTCCTTTAATTTTGGATTCTTGTAACCTCCGAATTATAGTGGCTTCACTATTGGTAGCCGTATCTTCAATTGCCTAGGCTCAAGCTCTGAAACTCCATTCCGACTTCTCTCCATCTCTCTGCCTTGTATCTTTCAAAGATACTCTTAAGTCTCTACCTCACTGACTAAGTTTTCAGCCATCTGACCTGAAATCTTCATATGTCGCTTGGTATCATACTTTTTTTTTTAAAATGCTGCTGTAAAGCACGTTGGGATATTTAATTATTGTGTTGTTTTCCCACATGCTCTCTCTCTGCCTCTGTACTTGCATTAAACCTGCTACTGCTCCAATTTTTTTCAGGTCTGATCAACAGCCACAGACTTCAAGCATTAACTGTTTTTCCCTTCTCAGATACTGCCAGTTCTGCTGAAGGTTTCCAACATTTTCAGCTTCCACAGCATTTTGTTTTCACCATTTGTGAGATTCAGCCCTAGGCAGTTGGCAGAAGGGGGTTTGGAATAGGTGGTTATGGAAAGGAGTTTGCAGCAAAGACAATGGTTTCAGTCTCTCCAATATTTAGTTGGAAGATATTTCTGCCCATCCTGTTTTGGACATTGGAAAAGCAGGCTGACAAATCAGAGATAGTGGTGGGGTTAAGAGAGTTGATAGCAAAGTAGAACTGGGCCTAGTCACGTGGAAAATGATGCTCTGTTTTCAGGTGACGATTGCCTTCTGATCATGTGGTAGATAACAAAATATGTGTCTTCTACAAAGCCAACCTCATCCACATTATAGTGCCAAGCAGATTATGCTTATTAACAAACAACAAACTGCAGCAGGTCAACTGTTATTCAGTTAGCAACGTTTATAAAGATATTTTGTTTTTCAAGCGGTGGTTTTGGGGTAAAGAAAAGAAAATATATCTTTCAGAAACAATTGACAGAAGTGGCAAAATCCTGCACGAGGAGACTGGCAGATAATATTGAGGCATGTGAATTTGAAGACTATCACATGGGATGCACAGGGAACTGATTAGGATGTAGGAAACAAGAAATGGTGAGAAATGAGACATGACCTTTTCAAATAATATTTGTAGTTCAATGAGCAGTTATTCAAGGATCAGGTCCAAGTGCACAATACACAATCAATCAAATCATGATTTTGGCAGGCAGAAATCAAGGGAATTTCTCCCCATACTTGTGCAAGTCAGCTGTTGGTTTTGTTTTGTTTGTTTTACTCTCAAAAACATTGATGGCAAATAATTATATCCTGAAATGTCCTTTGGAAAGGAGATGGGGATCAATGAAGAGTTGTTCTCGATTTTGCCGATAAAATGTCTAAACTCTTCATTCCTGAAATGGGAAGAAATTAAGGCGGCAGACAGAAGGTAAAAAACAGATCATTCTTGTTGGGCCTGATAAGCTTAAAATATTTCTTTTATGTAAAGCTTGAAATGTGGAATTGGTATAACTCATCATCATGAATTACATTTTTCTGTACGGCTCTTAAATTCCACTTTTTCAATGCAATATTCTGTAACTAGCAAGACAAAATATTAAAAAGGTATTTATGACAATGATTACGAGGATTTACATTGTGATAATTTCCCAGATAATTCTGAAACTTGAATGCACATATTACCAAATATGGAAGTTAAATACATGTAAAAGTATTTAGAATAAGGTTAACTATACAACTTTTAAGGAAATGTTAGCGACACTTACCAGAGGCAGCATCTTCATCTATTTCAATCTTCACTCCTTTTCCGTTTCCAGTTGTAACTCCACACCAATCGCTGCGACATAGCGACACTGGGACAACCCCGTACACATAGGCAAGCATCACAGGCACCCCAATACCTTAAAATTAAAAAAAAAAAGAAACTGTTTGCTGGAAAGGGAATAACTTCAAGAAGTAACCATATGTTTTAAATAAAATAGAGAAAAACCTTACACAGCTGTTAGCTGTGATTGAATAAGGAGGACGGTAGCCTGAGCAGGAGATTTTACACATGTGTATCTCTAAGTATACAAAAAAAGCAGAGATGGCTGACGCTGGAGTCAGAGTCGATACAGTGTCGAGCTGGAGGAACACAGCAGGTCAGGCAGTAGAGGGTCAGGGGAGTTGACGTTTCGGGTGTAGACCCTTCATCAGGACTGGGGAAGGTGAAGGGAGCTGGGAAATAAATAGAGGGAAGAGGGGTAGGGCTGGGGCTAGGCAGGTGGGATGGCGATAGGTGTATGCAGGTAGGGGTAGTGGGGATTGGTCAGTGGGAGGGGTGGAGCAGATAGGTGGGAAAGAAGAGGGTCAGGTAGTTTCAGGTCAAGGAGGCGGGGATGAAAGGGAGGATTGGACACGGAATGAGGACGGAGATGGGGAGATTTTGAAACTGGTGAATTCACTGTTTAGGCCATTAGGCTGTAGGCTCCCGAGGCAGAATATGAGGTATCATTGTGGCACTGGAGGCAGCCCAGGATGGACATGTCACCAAGGGTGTTTTGGTGGGGGAAGAGAGTTAAAATGGTTATCAACCAGAAGGTGTTGTTGATTATAGCGTACAGAGCGCTGGTGCTCTGCAAATCTGTCACCGAGACGACATTTGGTCTCACTGACGTAGAGAGGCCACATCGGAAGCAACGGGTACAGCAGACCACATTGGAGGATGTACAGGTGAACCCGTCAGATATGGAAATTTTATCTTGGGCCTTGGAGGTGAGGGGGAGGTGTAGGGGCAGGTGTCGATCTGCTGCGGTTGCAGGGAAAGGTGTCAGGTGTGGTGGGGAATGTGGAGCGGACGAGTGAGTCGCAGGGTGAGCAGTCCCCAAGAAAGGCAGATAGGGGTGGGGAGGGAAATAGCTCTTTATGGTGGGGTCAGATTGTAGGTGGCAGAAATCGCGGAGGATGATGGGATGGTATGCGAGGACCAGGGGGACCCTGTCTTTATTTTTGTTCAGGTGAGGAGGTTTGAGGGCAGAAGCGCAGAAAATGCAAGAGATGTGGTTGAAGGCATTTTGGATCAACGGAGTGGGGAAGCTGCGGTCCTTGAAACAGGAGGGCACCTGGGATGTTCGGGAGCGGAACGCTCCAACTTGGGAGCAAATTTGGCAGAGGCAGAGCCGGAGGAATTGGGAGTACGGGATCGCATTCTTGGAGGAGGGTGGGCGAGAGGAGGTGCAGTCAAGGTAGCTATGGGAGTCGGTGGGTTTGAAATAGATGTTGGTGCTGAGATGGTTACCAGATATGGAGACAGAGAGGTCCAGGAAGGGGAGGGAGGTATCAGAGATGGTCCAGGTGAATTTGAGGTTGGGGTAAAAGGTGTTAGTAAAGTTGATGAACTCTTCAAGCTCCCCATGGGAGCATGAAGTGGTCAAGAAGGCATACGGAACGCTTTCATTCACTGGACGGGGTATTGAGTACAAGAGTTGGCAGGTCATGTTGCAGTTGTATAGGGCTTTGGTTCGACCACATTTGGAATACTGCGTACAATTCTGGTCGCCACATTAGCAAAAGGATGTGGATGCTTTGGAGAGGGTGCAGAGGAGGCTCACCAAGATGTTGCCTGGTATGGAGGGCGCTAGCTATGAAGAGAGGTTGAGTAGATTAGGATTATTTACATTAGAAAGACGGAGGTTAAGGGGAGACCTGATTGAGGTCTACAAAATCATGAGAGGTATAGACAGGGTGGATAGCAAGAAGCTTTTTCCTAGAGTGGGGGACTCAATTACTAGGGATCACGATTTCAAGGTGAGAGGGCAAAAGTTTAAGGGAGATATGCGTGGAAAGTTCTTTATGCAGAGGGTAGTGGGTGACTGGAATGTGTTGCCAGCAGAGGTGGTAGAGGCGGGCACGATAGCATCATTTAAGATGTATCTAGACAGATACATGAATGGGCAAGGAGCAGAGGGATACAGATCCTTGGAAAATAGGCGACAGGTTTAGATAGAAGATCTGGATCGGCGCAGGCTTGGAGGGCCGAAGGGCCTGTTCCTGTGCTGTAATTTTCTTTGTTTTTTGTTCTTTGTTTGAAGCAACTCCAATACAGTTATTGATGTAGTGAAGGAAGAGGTGCGGGATGGTTCCAGTGTAACAGTGGAAGAGGGTTTGCTCTACGTATCCTACGAAGATGCAGGCATAGCTTGGACCCATATGGGTGCCCATAGCCACCTCTTTGGTGTGTAGGGAGTGGGAGGAGTTAAAGGAAAAGTTGTTGAGGGTAAGGACAAGTTCTGTTGAGCGGATGAGGGCGTCATTGGAGGGGGACTAGTTGGGCCTGCAGGTGAGGAAGAAGCTGAGGGCTTTTAGGCATCTGCGTCGGGATATAAGTGTACAAGGACTGGAGGCATTTCTATATCTGACAGGGGTTCACCTGTACATCCTCTTACCTGGTCTACTGTATCCATTGCTCCCGACATAGCCTCCTCTACATTGGTGAGACCAAACGTAGACTCGGTGACAGATTTGCAGAGCACCTGCGCTCTGTGTGCTATAATCAACACTATCTTTCGGTTGCTAACCATTTTAACTCTCCCTCCCATTCCCTTGGTGACATGCCCATCCTGGGCCTCATCCAGTGCCACAATGACGCCACATGCAAACTGGAGGAACGACATCTCGAATTCCGCGTCGGGAGCCTACAGCCTGATGGCCTAAACATTGAATTCACCAGTTTCAAAATCTCCCCACCCTGGCCTCATCCCAAATCCAACCCTCCCGCTCATCCCACCTCCTTGATTTGACACTACCTGTCCATCTTCTTCCCCACCTACCTGCCCCACCCTTCCCATTGACCAATCCCCACTACACCTACTTGCATCCACCTATCGCTATCCACCTACATTCCCCCAACCCCACCACTCTCCCTCTCTTCACTCTCCCCAGGGCTGAAGGAGGATCTAGGCCCGAAACATCAACTCCACTAATGCTGCCTGACCTGCTGTGTTCCTCCAGATATACAAGAAAAGCGTTCACATAATACATTTCCTCATTGAAAAACTCATCTAACATCATTTGCCGTTTTTATAAATTGAAAGAATCTATTGAATATTATTGTCCTGAGATTTAACCTTACCGACTGTTATTGCAGCTAACACAGGAGAGACAATAATTGATAGAACCACTCCTCCAGCCACAGCAAGCCTCCGTCTATGTTTTGATATTTTGTTACTTTCACAACGGCTGTATATCTTAAAAAAAAATGTACGAGAACAAATTTTAGTTACATTAAAACAAACCAAAAAACTGTAGATGCTGGAGAAACGCAGCCAGCCTGGCAGCATCTGTGGAGACAGAGCAATGTTAATGTTTCAAGTCTAGTGTCCCTTCTTCAGGGCTGGAGGATGACCGCTTGATTTTAAATATTAACACTGTTTTCCTCTCCACAGGTTCTGCCAGACGTGCTGAATTTCTCTACCAATTAGTAGTTTTGTTTCTTTTATTCATATTAGTTTTAAATTACCTAAAAATCCATATTTTGTTTTAAATCTGAGCAAAATACTGCATATTACTAATTATGTAGGACCTTCCCCGATCAGATTCATAAAGTCCTATTTAGGAGAGTACAACAGGGTTTTTAAGTGAAATCTAGATTAATACACTCAAGAGTTTTAAATACTTCAAAAACTAGCTGGCAGTGCTGCAGAGGAGGTACAAACAATACATACATCAAGAAAATAAAGACACAAAGTACGGCATTTACACAGTGCCATCCAAGACCATTTTCAGAATAAGGATCAAAACAACTTTTATAGGTGAGGGCTCACATTGAGATTTTCTTGAGGGATTTTGATTTTCAGGAGATATGTTTTGGGTTTAATTCCTACCAATACCTTCATTACAAAATGCTGTTATCTTGTAGCAATAGATTCTGTATGTGTGTTGAACTTTTATTTCAAATAATTTCCTTTAGATCTATCAGCGACCAAAAATTTCAAAAAGATTGTATGAACTCCGATACTCTACTGCCAAAATGAAAATTCTAATTAGTTGGCACAGAGTAATTTATAGGAATTTGTCTCTTTTCTGCTGCCCCTGTTAAAAATTAATTGCAAGCAATTTGTGCTTTCCAGTATTCTTTGGTTTTGTTCTGCCAATTTCAGATTGCTTTCCCTGTTCTGTTTAAAGTGAACAAGTGGCAAACACATCAGGATACAAACTGCCAAGAGTCCAACTGTGCCACAAAAGGGAATGCACAGAAGATAATTCTACTGCACTTAGCTGATAACAAATGGGTTAATTCACATATACTTTATAGTTCAGTGCTATCTCTCCTCTGCCCTCCTACCGTACCAATCCTGTAGATACACACTGCTGCTACTGAAGCAGTTGAAGATGGTTGGGCCTAGGACATTACACTGAGGAAATCCTGCAGAGATGTCCTGGAGCGGAGGTGACTGGCATCCAACCCTCACACCCTGCACAAAGGAAAATGATGATGTTTCCAACCAGTGGAGAGCTTTCCCTCACTGATTCCCATTTACTCCAGTTTTGCTCATGTGGCCTTTGCGTCAAGGGCAATTACTTTCCCTTTACCTTTGGAACTTGGCTCTTTTGTCCATGTTTGAACTAAGGCTGTAAAGAAGCCAGGAGCTGAATGGACCTGGCAGAACCCAAAATGGGAAATTAGCAGTTTATTACTAAGCTTGATAGCACTGCAATAATGATCAAGAGTAGACTGATGGGGAGTTGATTGGACAATGCCAATGTCTTCACATGAATAACTGTACTTCAATGAGACAGAGAAACCTCAATGCAAACAAGCTAGTTACATTCAAGTCACATAACAGCACTTTTTTTTGCAGGCGTGGGCGGAATCATTCAATGGCACTCTCTGCCCAGATCTGGCATCAGGAGAAAGGGAAGACCCTGCAAACAGCCAGTCTCCTAGCAAAACTGCAGGCACTACCTCCTCCCCTCACACTACCCAAGTACGCCCCCTAACCTCTCAGTAGCTGGCAAATTCCTCCCGAAGACTCCCATCCTGCCCACACTCACCTCCGACTAGGGATCCATGGTTGAATGCCTCCTGCAAGGCAGAGTAATAATAATAGTGGCAACAGCGGCCAGACATACTGCCAGCACTGAAGACCTGTCAGCCTCTCAATTCTACCTGAGCCTTAATCTAGTTGGAGGCCTAAAGATCTCCAAGTGCATGCCTAATTACCTGGTAGATTGCATTGGATCTCTCCACCCCATTCTCCAACTAACAGGTGAGACTCTTGTTTCAGTCATTCAATTCTGTCTATTAATATTTTCTAGTATTAATTGCAGTAACAGTTCAGAGTCCTTCGTGAAATACAATGCTGCATCACCAAAGCACGAGGAAATAATTCAATAAAATCTTACATAAATTTTGATAACTCTAAAGAGGCCTAATGAAGGCCCAAATGCTTGATCCATTGTGCGTTCTGTTACCTTTCGGCCTACGTAGATGGGAAGCCCAACCATCATAACTGGAACAGCAATGCCCGCAATCAAGGTAATTCCAATTGGAGCACCAACCAACATACCCACTTGCCAGAGAATCTTCTTCTTCCGGCTCCACGGTTTCTTACCCCAAAAAGTGCAGCCAGAGGGACTGTAAATGAAAAAATTCAAATAAAGGTAATGTGGAATCACATTCCCTTTGAAATGAAGCAACTTATATCAACCATTGAATGCAGGAAGTAAGAGTTAACTAAACTTTTTAAAAAGGGAAAGTTGTATATAACCACAACTGTTTGATGTTTTTCGTCTGAAGTTGGCCATGAGACTCGTTGGTACTTAGAAAGGTTACTGCACAGAAAGAGACTGTTTAGCTCATTATGTCTATGCCAGCTAATAATCTTGCTTCCCCAATCCAATTCCATTTTCTCCTGAAATTTCACAACTCCAGACACCCAACATTTTCCTCATGTCTCCTCTATTCCTTCTAGTATGTTTTGCAAAACGCTGGCAAGCAGGTGCAGCAAGAGATTAGGAAGGCAAATGGTGATTTTTTTTGCAAGGCATATCCAGTATATTATGATCCCAGCTGGTCTTATTACTGGATAAGTCAGACTCAAGAATGACAATTGTGTCGGGGCAGGGAGACAAAAATACAATACAACTTTTCTCCTATCTTTCAGTCAGAGGTAGTGCTATGCGAGGCTACAGAAAACCTTCTGTTCATTTCTAACACTTGTATTAGGTACAGAATTCTGGCAGATCCCATTTTTAGGTCATAGAAGTGAAAAAAAAGCAGTCATAAATATTGTTGTAAATGTAAGTTGCCATACCTGAGGTAGTGCAGATCTGTAATCTCCTTCATGCACAGCCAGCAGAACTGGCAACCACACACAGCACATGTCATCCTATTACAGCTTCCATCATTCATCTTCAGAATAAAAGCACCACAGCGTGGACATGGCTTGATCTCTTCAGCTACAAAAATGAATAAGGAGGAGGAAACAGGGTCTTATTCTATAACTAACAAATCTCAAATCATACTTGCACGAAACCATCCATGATGAAACTACGCTGATTTACTTTTCCTTTCCCAATACCTTCCAATTCCACCCTAAGCCAAAACATCTTCATTCTATTCTTTCAAGTAGATTACAGTCTGCAAAACTAAAGGAAAACATAACAGGAAAGGTCACTGAAAACTGATTTTGTAATTGAACAGCCGTTGGATTTGCATTATGGACAAAATATTGTGGTCAGAATTTGTACAAATATTCAGCTCAATTACCAAAAATAATGGAAGGGGGTTGGGTAAATCAGTCAAATGTCCACCTTCTGATTGACCTTAACTATGTCAAGTTGGATGTTCTCATGTGTGCATCAATGAGAAGAAAATCATGGACATTTGCAACAGGCTCAAGTTATGGAGGGCCACTACCTCTGGAAGTGAACCTTGGGAGATAGATGGGGAGACGTTGACATACACACACCTTTTGGGCCATTTCACATGGTTTTAAAATAGCTAATGGCAAAATAAAGGCTGTTGATCATGCACTGTCTCTCAGGCTCAAGATGGAATGACATAGTTTGCAAAAAAAAAAGACCAAGTGTCTTTTGTTTGGAAATCACAAGATAAAGATACTTTCATGGTTAAGATAAAAGATTTAAAAAGTGTCAACTCAAATAGTTTGTCAAGACAGATCTAATTTCTGTTGAGGTTGGTTGGCTCGACGAGCTGGTTTGTTGTTCCTCAGACGTATTGTCACCATGCTGGGTAACATCATCAGTGCAGCCTCCGACGAAGCGTCGGTGTGTTTTCCAGCCTGGTTTTAAAAAAAATAATGACATAGAACTCGACCCCATATACACTCCACTACGAAGGAAAACCGGAAGTGAGGCAATCCAGCTCAACGGACTTGAGTTTAAAACCAGGCAGGAAAACACACCAACGCTTCATTGGAGGCTGCAGTGTTTTCCCGCCTGGTTTTTAAACTCTGGAGCCCGTTGAGCTGGATTGCCTCACTTCCGGTTTTCCTTCGTAGTGGAGTGTATATAGGGTCGAGTTCTACGTGATTATTTATTAAAAACCAGGCGAGAAAACACACCGACGCTTCATCGGAGGCTGCACTGATGATGTTACCCAGCATGGTAACGAAACGTCTGCGCAACAACAAACCAGCTCGGCTAGCCAACCAACCTCAAAACCCACAACCCGAGCTACAAATCTACTCCAAAACCTTAGAGATCCAACTTCGCTGGCATTTAGTGAACTCAAACTTTCTACTGGAAGTGGTGTAATAAAGGTGTCAATTATTACAAAGTATGATTCAGGATTAGTGTCATTGTCAGAGTGAAACATCACTTGTTTATTTGCTGCTGAATGAATCAAAGTAGATCAGTGATACAATCAAAAATTCTGTTTGAACTTTAAGAATAAAAGTTACACTTATAGTCCAGAGATCCTCTTGATTACTTCAGTCTTCTACTCACCAAGTTCTACACGTGCATAGGATAAGAGGAATTGAGAAATAATTAAAAATATTTACTGGTATAGTTTTCATAAAGTACTGAGAGGACCTGCAAGAACTTCAGTTACGATGTGATCCTTGTTTAAATCTGTTACCTTGCTCACAAACAATGAAGTTTGTTTAAAATTATGCTAGTATAGTGCAATCTTTCTGCTTTGCTGTATTAGTTTACCTGTAAATGATTACTCTTAACCTGTGCTTAATGTGCTAGAGAGGGGTTATTTTCCATCTTCTAAGGTCAAAGAAGAATATGGTGAAAAACTACACACGTCAATAAATTAATTAGCATGATAAAGGGTTTGATCATTATACATGATCTAAGCAAAAGTAAATTTGGCAGAAACCAAATATGTCAATTTCCATTCATAAAGAATGTGTTCTGTTCAAGGACTCAGAAACACAGAAAACAGGAGCAGGAATGGGTCATTCGGCCCTACATCTGCTCTGCCATTCATTATGATCATCCAACTCAACAGACTGTTTCCTCTTTTCCCCTATAACCCTTGATCCCTGTATCCCCAAGTGCTTTATCCAACTCTTTCTGAAATCAACAATGTTTTGGCCTCCATTGTTTTCTCTAGTAGAAAATTCCATAGGTTCACTACTCCAGGTGAATAAATTTCTCCTCATTTCAGTCCTAAAATCATTTATCCCATATTCATGGTTCTGGACTCCCTCATCATCAAGAACATCCCTCCTGCATCTACCCTGTCTAGTCCTGTTAGAATTTTATATGTTTCCAATGAGATAGCCCAATATTCTTCTGAACTCAAGCAAATAAAATCTGTTGCACCTGCATCTTACCTTCAGGAACTGGTATACGAGGACACCCACATCTTGTTGTACATTCCCTTTTTGCAATTAATAGCCAGATAATAATCTGCCTGTTTGTACTCCTGAAATGGGCAACTTCATTTATTCACGCTATACTGCATGTGTCTTGCATTTGTCCACTCATTCAACTTGTCAAAATCACACCGAAGCATCTCTCTATCCTCCTCACAGTTCACACTCCCACCCAAGCTTTGTGTCATCTGCAAATTTGGAGATGTTATGGTTACCCCGTCTTGTTGGAACTCAGTTTTCTTTAGTTTTCTCATTTTTGGTTTGGAACTGTAAGCTGAAATTGAGAGTTGAACTTTGAGTAACAGCTTATCTTAAGAAAAAGAAACAAACTGATATTTGTTTATGGGTACTGGCCTGGAGAGTTAATTGCAGGTTAGGGATCATTTTCAGAACTTAGCAGATATTTCAGCATCTGAGATGCATTATGCTCAAGGACCCATGACTGCTTCATGTTAAAACGGACTATCAATGGGAGGCTAGTGTCGGCCTGACAAACAAAGAGATTGTGAAAACAAAATAAAAAAGAGAAACCATAGACTGAATTAGCTATGAACTATGTTTTCAGACAGACAGGCTTTGGGTGTGAAAACTCCTGGAAGTAGTTTTGGTTGCCCTCCAGTTATCAACTCATTGCAAGTTTGGAGAATGGTATCCCAGTTAGAAGTAGTGATATTCCTCAGTGCCTACCAGAAGCTGTTTGCATTGACCGGTGTCCTCAAATCAAGCAAGATACAATCCCATGTGCCTGTGATACTGAGCATCACTGAAACTGCTTAAGTGAACTGGCCAGTTACATCTCTTATTTTTCTTTTGATTTATCCCTTAACTCTGTCTATGAGAAAATGGGGCTGTGTTCAAAGAAGATTGGGTTTAAATCATAGACATTCATTGGAATGCCTTGTTGTTTAGTTTTGCTTTGCTAAGTTACAGTATTAATAATAAATTGTTAAGTTTTGTTTGAACCATAAACCTGGGGTTTAATATTTGTTATTCTTAAAGTCTGATTAGGAATTATTGCAACAATTTTGAGAATCATTGAATGTTTTAATTTAACAGGGACACAGAGACTGATTTGGTTTGGCTTGCTGCCCCCTGTCATAACAATCTAAATCATGAATACATTTTGTGTATAGCTGGGGTCCTAGCACCGATTCCTGTGGTACCCCACTTGTCATTGCCTGCTATTAAGAAAACGACCCATTTATTCCTACTGTTTCCTAACTGCCAACTAGTTTTCTATCAATCTCAATACACTGCACCCAATCCTATGTACTTTAATTTTACGCACTAATCTCTTACGTGAGACTACATTAAAAGCCTTCTAAAAATCCAAATAAACCACATCCACTGCTCTCCTTATCATCTCTACTTGTTATCCTCGAAGAATTCCAGTAGATTTGTCAAGCATGGTTTTCCTTTCATAAATCCATGCTGAATGTGTCTGATTCTGCTACTGTAACTCTGCAGTCTATTTCATGTTTTAATATGATAAAAGCAGCTCATTATGGAGGTGGGAATACCATATAAATGTTCTGGTGAATGTCACTGTCATAATTCACTCTTTTCCTGTGCCATTCAATTCTCTCCGCCAAAACTGGACATGGATCAGGAACATTGCCTATTAACAAGTTGTAAAATTCCAAAATAGAAGAGGAAGGCAATGAAGAAAGAATAGAAAGGGAAGATAAAATTGAACTGGATGGACCCCCTGGCACAGTGGAACAGAAATGACAACTGTAAACACAACCCTGTCAACCCTGCAAAGCTGTCTTTACTAACGCTTGGCATCTGGGGCTAGTACCAAAATTGGGACAGTTGTCTCACAGGCTTGTCCAGTAACGGCCTGACACAGTCATACTCATGGAGTCATACATGGACATGTTCTCTCCCACTGACAAGACAGACCCAGCAGATGTAATGGCCCTGTGGAATACAATCTGGAGGGAATTGCGAGTCTGGTACATCCCCTCTGACACCATGAAGTCTTATGGCATCATGTCAAACACTGACAAGGGAACTTCCTGCTTATGAACGCATACCACTCACCCCCTGGCGATGAATCAATGCTCCTCCATGTAGAACCTTAGTTGGTTTCAGCACTGACAGAGTAAGGGCACAGAATGTACTCTTGGTGAGTGACTTCAAATGTCCACCACCAAGAATGGCTTTGCAGCACCACTACTGACTGAGCTGGTCAAGTCCAAAAGGACATAGCTACTAGGCTGGGCCTGTGGCAGTTGAGTGACCTAATAAGGGGGAAAAACATACTTGACTTCATCCTCACTAGTCTGCTGCAGGTACAAGGCAGAGTTGACAAGGGTGACCATCTCATAGTTCTTGTGAAGACGAAGTTACATGGAGAATACCCTCTATTGTCTTGCGTGGCACCATCGCCATGCTGACTAGCAATTCAACAGTGGGCATCCATCAAAGTGATGTGGGCCATAAGCAGTAGCACAATTATACTCAAACACAATCTGCCACCTCATGGCCTGGCATATATTTTACTCTACCAATACCATCAAATCAAGGGATGAAAACTGGTTCAATGAAGAATGCAGGATGGAATGCAGAGAACAGCACTAGCTATACCTAAAATTAGGT